TTAAAAAAAAAGTACTTGATGGATAAAGCCGACAAATGAAATGATTGTTGTAAATTGGGATCCTCAAGCATCCACACCAAACAAAGTAAAGAGAAACGAGCGAGAGAACAAGAGACAGAAGAGCATAAAAGTCTGTAATTTTATTCATCCTATATCACCCTTTTATAGGGTTTACAAGTGAGAAGCCCTAAAACCTAATTTCCCTAACTAATAGACTTCAGGCCCAATTATCAATTAGTAATGTCCATATACATATATTTATAACACTCCCCCTTGGACATTACTACATCATGTCCATGTCTCGTTAAAAACCTCGCTACAAAACCCAGTGGGAAAAAAATAGTCGAGGAAAAGAGTACATGACGTATGCATATTTATGTGTTACACTTGCTGCCTCATTAAAAACCTTACTAAGTAAAACCCAATGGGAAAAAACATAGCTAAGGGAAAAAGAGTACAACACCGGCCAACAGGACCTAATCTTCAAGATTACAATTAGCCTTCCGGGCTCGATCTTCAGGATTTATTTATCGCTCCCCCTGAAGGCAAGAGCATTTCAAGTTACATTTATAAATGTTTGTTGCTCCCCCTCAAGGTAAGAGTATCTACATAAAATCGTCATTGGTTGCTCTTCCGGAGTTAATATGGATTCAAAAATATCATCCAATGTATTTCCATAATTTATTTGTGTAACACAAACGGAGTTATCTTCAAGATAAATATGGGGAAATTTAAATAACCAATGGTAAAGAGTTAATACCATTTAAGAGGTCTATAACCAATCGAGGACCCAGTACTTCGGGGATCAATTATACAGTTTATGTCTTTATCCACCAATATCATCTATCAAGTCCAAAGATAACTCAACATACATGAAAGCATAATGGGATATTCTCAAATTTATCACGACATCTCTCTACGGAGAGAAATAGTAAATCTTGCTAGCAAATTCATCGCAAATGCAGTATCAGGCCTGATGCAGTTTGCGTGATAAAAGTTTAGCACAATTGCGCGTAGTAAATAAACTTCAGGTCATTTGTGGACTTCAAGTCATTCGGAACTTCAGGTCCTATAATATCCTCATTTGTTTCTTTGGATGTTTATAAATCTTTGTCAAATTCTAAATATTTGACACTCATTGGTGTTATAATTTTACATCTCTATAAAAAGATTCAAGTAGATTGATTGGGTAAAAAATACTCCTTCTAGGAGATGCTCGATCTACAAGTCGAGTTAATACTCTTTGGTATTTAACCAAGAGTTTCATTCTAACTCCGTCTATAAGCATGAGCTAACTTATTTAATCTTTTACATAGTGTTCACCACTTAATCTATTTGACCGAGATGATCATTTTGTATATTACCAGTAATATACACAAGGCTCTACCTTGAATTTCTTACTTTACTTCTTCAGGAAGAATTTAGTTGGTTGTACCACATCTTACCAACAACTTCAAATAATTAAACTATTTAATTATCGTTCATCTCGGGTACTCGAGCCCATCCAGGACTTTTCACATATGACTCGGTAGTCATGTTAATGATGCTGCCATAAATATTAACTTGCGGAATCATTGCTAATGAGAGAACTTATAAATATTTGGGTCTCTGCATAAACCCATGAGCATAATCTCGCTATATTTACGTCATACCACCACATCACATGTTTCATATAAATATTCATTATCCTTCTGGGATATGCTATCCTCCTGGGATATATCGTGTAGCGAGTGAAAGCTCTGCCTCAATTTTTCTTTCTATCTCAATCAACTTAAGCGCTTCTAGCACTTCTATTCTTTTGATCCGGATCATTATTTGAGACAGTTAAGAAATCACATAGGCAAGTATGTTGTCGACAACTGATATTCAATTTATATTTTTCTCTCAACCATTTGATAGCCATATTTATAATCATTTCCCGTAAAATCAAATTTTGGCCGTTCCGCATTTCCAGTACTATAATGGTTTGATGCACGTGCAAGATGTACTGGATCAACTCTTCAGGAGTTTATTATAAAGGAGTGTTAATTCTTGAATATACATTTTCCGCGGACTTTCATACATCATATTAATTATATCACCTTATGCTTCAAGCATTAAGGAGTCAATCATTCCCTAGGGAATTTGCTTACTCTGTGGTACATCTATATATTTACAAATAGGTCACTCCATTATAACTACAGATTTCGCTTGGCAGAAATATAATATGAACTTCAAGTTCAATTTTTATTGCGTGGTTTGAAATAATGAAAACATTAATATTTCACATATTTCGCGGCATTAATAAACTCATGCTCATATCTCCCCCTAATGCCGTGAAATTATCTTCATATATTATGCAAAAAACGTACCAAGGAATAAACTGATCCCCTATAATGGCCTCTAGGTATTAAAAATTCGACGGAGTATAAAAATCATAGCATACCTAGTCTATAATATAGGCCCGTAAAGGTACGAATTGGTGGTGATATAAAATGGTGCATAATAATAATAAATTGCAGATGGGAAATGTTCAATTCTCCACGCATTTTAGGGGAAAATTATCATAAATAATTGCCCAATGTGATCCAACTGCTCATGCTAATTATATAAGTTGGGCATGGAAGTATAATAATTCATTTCTAAGTGAACACTATATGCTTCAGGCACTAAAAAAATTATGTGCTTCGGGCACTATATATAAATTTATTATTGTAGCTGTCAACAATATAAGTCAATGATATGCATCTTACCAAACATAAAAGCAAACATAAATAATCATAAAGTCTCAATGAAAACATAGGATAAAAAGCAAAAACAAACCACAAATGTCTGATAGAACAGAAATGTCTAATAGCTTGAAAATAGACCATCAATAAAATATCCAGTTCTAAGATAGAATGCATATTAATCACACATTGTCACCGTAGTCCTCGAGCTCGAGCTGCAATAAATCATCATCATCATCATTGATGGCTAAATTTGCTTCAGGCAAACTAGCATGATGTGATTCACCTTGAGGAGCCTTTCCTTTCTTATCCTTGAGCATTCTTTGATACGCCTCAACTAGATGCCGAGGAGTACGACATGTGCGGGACCAATGATTGTCGCACCCACATCTAAAGCAAACCTGCTTTTGCTCTTTAGGCTGTGGATGTGAATCGCGTCGATTTGAACGATCCACATCAATGTTTAAGTTCTCTCTATGACCTCCCGGGACGTTATCTCCATCACGAGTCCAAACACGGCCACGACCACGTCCACGACCACGACCGTGACCACGTCCACCACGGGGTGCCTGGGTATGGTATCCTCGACCTTTCCCTCGCACATTATGATGTCCGTGAGTAGTCGCATGTGCTTCAGGCACAGCTTGAGTTCCAACCGGCCTAGCATTATGATTTTTCATCAATAATTGATCGTGTTTTTCGGCCACAAGTAAGGCCGAAATCAGCTCAGAATGTGTTGCATAGTTCTTAGTCCTGTACTGCTGCTGGAGTACAAGGTTGTTAGCATGAAAAGTGGATAAAGTCTTTTCAAGCAACTCAGTCTCGGTAATGTTCTGCTTACAGAGTTTAAGCTGTGAAACAATGCGGTGTAGAGCTGAATTATACTCAGTGACGGATTTGAAATCCTGAAAGCGAAGGTTAAGCCAGNAAAATATGAATCCATAAATGGTATATGAGTTTTATGTAAAGTTAATCTCATATAGCACAACAATTGTCAATTTGTTTGAACAAAATCAAGAATTAATTGAGATGATATGCAACAAAAAGCAAGTTACGAAATATTGCAGTATCCATAAGACGACTTAAACATTGACTGACAATTGTTATCTTATATTAAAAAAAATCCCATGTAATAGAAGAGTATAAACTGGGAAAAAAAATCTTAACAACAATAACAATAACAATTAGCTATAACTAATATGGGCACTGAACAATATAATATTGACTAAAATAAATTGAACTAACAATTAAATAAGCAGAAGTCCTTTAAGCAATTCTCATGTTAAACAGGTTTGTTAAGAATATCTCATATGAGTCTGCAATATTAATTTCCCAGCGTCAACATCATAAGAATTATTTCGGAAATTAAAAAAAAAAACATCCAAGCCTCCATTAATTATGTGAAACGAGAATGAAGTTTCAAATTCATTGACGCAATTCATACAGATAATAAACTACGCAATATGAAACACAATATGATTTCATATATAATAAAAATATCCCAGCAAAATAATTCCACATGCAATTAGTGCATGTGTAATTGACGCGGAAATCAAGCATAATATGCGGAAATCAAACAATCCCAGCAAATAAAAATATCCCAGCAAACACAATAGGATTACGCATCAATTAGGATATCAAACATAATATGATGCCGAAATCACAAAATATATATACATATGTATGCGGACAAAGGTCATATGCAACAGTAAACTGACGAATTCAAACTAAAACAATATCCCAACTATTTGATCTAAAACTCATTCGTCATAGAATTTAGTGATAATTTATAAAATAAATGGATCTCGAAAATACCTGGAAGGAAAAACACGATTTTTTCCTAGGGCAACACCAAAAACGAACTAGAGCGTGCTGATAACGTGTTGTAAATTGGGATCCTCAAGCATCCACACCAAACAAAGTAAAGAGAAACGAGCGAGAGAACAAGAGACAGAAGAGCATAAAAGTCTGTAATTTTATTCATCCTATATCACCCTTTTATAGGGTTTACAAGTGAGAAGCCCTAAAACCTAATTTCCCTAACTAATAGACTTCAGGCCCAATTATCAATTAGTAATGTCCATATACATATATTTATAACAATGATCACCCCATTTGAAAAATTCCCTTTCTCTATTTGCCGTTTGAATTGAATCCAAAAAGGAATTTATCAAATAATAAATAAATAAAAATCCAAAAAGGGTAAAAATGTAAATCGAGTTAAAGCATTGACTGAGCCTTCACTCCTACCCCTACGGCTACGTATCCCTTTCAATTTAATATAATACTAATTTATTTTGAATGGCACTCTCAAAATAGACGTTGGCCTTTTGGCACCTGGCACCCCACTTCACCTTACAACTTTCAAATCAAATCTTGCTCCTGTGCTTATGTTCTTTCACACACACACACAAACACACACTGAACACAGCTTAATAGTAGGAAATAAGAAATAGAGAAAACCAGTGGCATTTGATTAAGGAAACTGTTTTTGGAACAGGAAAAACCCAGCAAAGATTGTTACTTTTTTTGAAATGAATTAGTCCCTTTTTGGGTGTTTTTTGTTTGGCTTTGTGTGTAAATGGGAAGTGTGGGTAGGAAGAGCGAGAAGAAAGATAGGCGTAAACTGATTAGTGATGACTCGGTGAGTGAGTCGAGAGGGAGCAGCCGTACCAGTAGCTCTGAGAGTCGATCTACTTGTGGTGATAATTCTTTGGGTTGGCCGATCAGAAAAGCTGCTAATTGCTTGGGAGATGATGGCTCCCAAGGAAAAACCAAGCCCCAATTGGCGGATGATTGTGGGTTGAAGAACAAGGGCTCAGCAGATTCAGGTCAGTCATGGGCTGGTGTTTTATTTATGTGTGAAAATAGAGAAAAAAATAATAAAAATTGGATCTGGAGTTACTATTTTTGTGTGAGCATTCATGCATTTACTTTGGGTGAAACTAATGAACACGATGCTTGGTTAAAAGATGTTTTTTTTTTTCTTTTTTTTTTTCCTTTTACATGAATCTAGCTGGCAAGGAAAGACTTCATATTATCAAAATTGATCCCATGATTTGCAATTATTCATCCCTGTGGTGTTTCCTTGAATTGAATTAGAATCAGAGATGATGAAAGAACGGTTCGCGAAATTACTGCTCGGTGAGGACATGTCGGGAAGTGGTAAAGGGGTTTGCCCGGCATTGGCCATTTCTAATGCCATTACCAACCTCTGTGGTGAGCAATCATACCTTGCTCTGCGAACCCTTCTGTCTGAGTTAGTGCACAGCTGTATTCTAAATATGTCATTAATAATACTGTCCTGATTTACCAATTAGCTACTGTCTTTGGGCAATTGTGGAGATTGGAACCTTTGCCAACCGAAAAGAAGACAATGTGGAAGAGAGAGATGGAGTGGCTACTTTGTGCCAGTGACTACATTGTTGAATTGAGACCATCTTGGCAAACATTTCCTGATGGAACTAGGCTCGAGGTAGTTCCTTGTCCAATTTCTCATTACATTTAACAATTGCCTTATTTTTTTTCCAAAATATATGCTGTAATGTATTATAATCTGAATTCCGTTCCACTCTAGGTGATGACTTCTAGGCCAAGATCGGATCTTTTTATTAATCTCCCAGCTCTGCGTAAACTCGATAACATGTTACTAGTAAGAGTCGAAAGTTCTCTCTTTTTTCTTTATCTAGTATTCTTGTTGCTTACAATTAACCATGAATACAATATTGCAGGAAATACTCGATGGGTTCACAGATACAGAATTTTGGTATGTCGATCAAGGCATAGTGGCACCAGAGGCTGATGGATCATCAGCCTCTTTCCGAAAAGCTGTTCAGCGGCAGGAAGACAAATGGTGGCTGCCCGTGCCACGTGTCCCCGTAGGCGGCCTTCCTGAAGCCACGAGAAAGCAATTGAGTAACAAGCGTGAATTCGCAAATCAAATACTTAAAGCTGCCATGTCTATCAACAGCATTGCTCTAGCTGAGATGGACGTGCCCGATTTGTACCTCGAAACTCTTCCAAAGGTTTCATTTCTAACCTCCAATGTATATTCCTATTTTTTCAAAGTTCATAATAACCGATGTTTGAATTACAGAACGGGAGAGCGTGCCTAGGTGACGTCATCTACCGTTACATCACGTCGGAACACTTCTCGTCAGAGTGCCTGCTCGACTGCCTCGACCTCTCCTCCGAACACATCGCCCTGGAAATAGCAAACAGAGTGGAGGCAGCAATTTACGTGTGGCGCCGGAGGCAACACCACGCGCCCCACTCCACCCGATCTTCCGTGAAGTCGTCTTGGGAAATCATGAAGGATTTTGTGACAGATGGCGACAAGAGGGAGCTTCTCGCAGAACGGGCCGAAACCCTGCTCAATTCCTTGAAACACCGCTTCCCGGGCCTCACGCAGACAACCTTGGACGCCTCCAAAATCCAGTGCAACAAGGATGTCGGGAAGTCCATTCTCGAGAGCTACTCTCGAGTTCTGGAGAGCCTGGCGTTCAACATCGTGGCCCGAATCGATGACCTGCTGTATGTGGACAATATCACGAGGCAGTCGGACAAGCTGTCGTCGTCGGGTGGGCCCACTCTGAGCCTAATCCCCCGCCAGCTGGCATTGGTGCCCGTCTCGGGCACCCCGGCTCGAACAACAGCATACTCGACCCCAAGATTCTCCCCGGCCAAGGCCCAGCTGGTGGTGAGCCCTGCAGGGGTAGGGGAGCGGACGCCCTTCCTTGGGGCCCACGGCAACAAGCTTCCGCGCCGTGGGCTCGGGGTGAAAAGGGCCCTCACGAACTACCTAGGGGGAGGGGGTGGTGGGGGGTCGGGTTCGGTCTCGAACAGAGTTGTTGTTAGTGGTGGTGGTGAAGGGGCTGCTGCTGCGGTGTCACGTGTGAGTGTTCAAGGGAAAGAACGGGCGGCCATCTCTGGTGGGCCTGTGACTAGACAGATGGACCGGTAGAGAGGGAACCGACTGTGTTGTGTTCTTTCTTATTTCTCGTTTAGCGTCTTTTTTTTAATGCAATGTTTTTATAAGAATGAGGATTTTTTAGGGATGTGTGTGGAGGGTCGTGTGTGTTGATTGATGTGTAGTTACTCATATCAGTTGTGTGTTGTTATATCTGAGTGAATTTATGTGGTGCTTCAACCAAATGCGCGCGTGCATTGTATACGAATGAGCCTTCCTTCAGTTTGGTTATTATAAGTTAGGAATTAGGACATAAGCAGAAATTAAAGAGGGTATTCAGGACCGCCCTCAGACTCGTGTAGATGAATATTGATTGGAAATTTCAGGAAAACTACGTTAAAAAAGGTTAAAATTGTGTCAGTTTTTCTGTGGTCTGAAAAGGGTTCTGTTATCCCTGATTCAAATCCACTGTTGTATTGCATATTGTAAGCTAGAAGTGAAGAATTTTTTCTTTATTCTGACAAGGGTTCTGTTCTCCCTGATTTAAATTTTAAACCCACTGTTGTGTGTGTTGAAACTTGTAAGCTAGAGGTGCACAAACAGTTCAGTCAAAGAAGAAGATATACGTAGTTTGAAATGTTGGGAGGCTCTAGAATTGGATCACGCATTTTGGTAGAAAAAAAAATTAGCTAAAAATATGGGCATTCCGAGATTTGAACTCGGGACCTTTCGCACCCTGAGCGAGAATCATACCACTAGACTAAATGCCCTTAATACTGGGCTTAAGTAATTAAAATTTAATTATTTTGTATTAAGTTTCAGTTTTAAAATTAGTAGATGATCCGTTCGCAACTCCAAGATGATACATTTTTTGGGTTTAGACTTATTAATCCCTCCCTATGTATTAATCGACTTATTACTTTTTTGTATTTTTGGATAATTTTCTCAACCTTAATGTCAGACTCTAACATTAAATCCCTCCCTATATATTAATTCAAAACGTGTTGAGCCTAGTGGTAGACTCACACGCTTCGGATGCTGCAATGACAAAAATCTATGATTTGGAATGTTGTTTGCATATTAATTTATTGGTTTGGAATTAGGCTTGGTATAGACATAAATAATTTTTTTTTTCAAACTTGGTAAGTGTACATTTAATTTTGTTATTTTTTTTTCTCTTAGTACAAATTTTCTTCTTGGACAAATAACAATCTTCTCATCTTATAATTTTCTCTCATATTTCTCTCCTAAATTACGATTTAGTATTTATCAAATCACTTTATTCACTGTCTATTCTTCTTTTTATTTCATTAATTAGTCTATCAAAAATTTTAAGTAAAATTTTTATTTAATAATAACTTTTTATAATATATTTTTTAACTCAACACTTACAAATATTGTAATAATGAGCTTTGATTGAAGTAGATTTAGGTCGGCCCGAGTGAGGACATACATGGTGCAAATGTATGTTGTAATGCGTCAAATTAATCCTATGTTTTTGGGGTAGAATATCATTTCATCTGCAATATTTTTAACAAGAATCTTCTCTACAATTTTTCTTAACGATTTTTCATTTTCTCTTCTAACATTTGATTGATTCTTTAATTGACGACTTTTAATTTTCGACAAATATCAGTGTTAGACTGGTTAAGCAAGGAAATACGAGAACTTGACCAAGGTTAAAGGCGCCTTGGTTCTGGCCCAATTTGAATTTCCTTTCATCTCTCACACACACGAAAAGCAGAAACCATCATCATTTACACTCACCTCACTCTACATTTTTGAAAACCCCCATTCAATACATTGTGATCTACTCATGAATTCGGTCGATTCAGCGAAAATGCTGCTGGCGGCGTGCGGCGGCGATACGGTGAAGCTGTTCGACACTTCGTCGGAGCCTCAGAACCCCTGCGTTCTCACCTACTCTCCATCTCCAGGCTTACGCGTGAATTCCGTCAAGTGGAATCACAACAGTTCGTGCCTTTTCACTTAGGAAATTTTTTCTTTGTGTTCTCTTCTCTCACGTTGATTTTATTTTTCCGCTTCTACTTTAGTTATCCCGTTGGGTAATTTTCGCGTAAAATCTGCCTTTGCCAGATTTAGTTTTGGCCAGTGCGGGCGAAGATGGTAAAATATCGTTATGGAGGAAAAATGGGCAAAGCTTGTGGATGGTGCCCGCCAAAAATGCTAGGGGCGAAATTGTTGAGGTACATTTATCTACTTTAGGATCAGTTTATTCTTTTCTGGAATTTGGGGATGAAGAAATTTGTGGCTATCGTTTTGAATGAGGGGGTGTGCATTTTCAATTTATGTTCCTAATTATGCTTGCCTTAGAAGAAGATGTCTTAGAAGATTAAGGTTTTGGTTGTCTTAGAAGAAGATGTGATGCAATATTGTATGAGCTGTACGAAATTTAGTATTGTTGTTACCAGACATTCTGATGTAAGTGACAAGTGAAAACCGATCCAATTTAGAGATTGTCAGTGGAGTCAAAGGTAGTTGGTGTGCACATACGACCATAACCCGAGATGGTTTTTAAAATTTTAATTGCAGCTGCAATATTGGAGTGCGATGTACTTGATAAGTGGATATTCTAATGTATCACTACTTGTTTATTCGACCTGATATGTGACTGTAGTCCTGGATTTGACCTGAAACATTAGTTAATTTTTTCTCTCCTCTCATATTTCTTAATCTTTTAAGCCTTCCGAGTCAATATCAACTATCAGCTTCAGCAATAAGGGATCCCGATATCTGTGCTCTGGTGGAACTGGTCAAGTTGTAAGAATATGGGATTTGCAGAACAAGCGTTGTGTCAAATGGTTGAAAGGTCACAGTGATACTATTACAGGTGTGATGTACAATTGCAAAGATGAACATATAGCTTCTGTCAGTCGCAAAGGAGATCTTATACTTCACAACCTTGCTTCTGGCGCAAGAGCTGCTGAACTAAGGGACCCTAATGGACAGGTTAATCATGTTTTTTCTGCCACTAGTTTTGCTGCATTGCCATTAGAATTATATCTGTTTCTGATGTATGTGATCTTGTACTTTTATTCTCCTAAAATTACAAGACCAGGTTTTGGGTGCACTTGATTATTCTAGGACAAGCAGGCACCTTTTAGTGACAGCTGGTGATGATGGATCCATTCATTTGTGGGACACAACTGGCAGGAGCCCAAAGGTAAGCATTAATAACAGTGAGAATCGCTGATGGGTTTTCTGCTGTCCTACTTAATAGCACTTAAACATTTTTCCTTTTTAGTTTATTAACAGATATATACTGACATTTTCTGTTGATCGGCAACACTTGGCTGATTTTCAACAAAATGACAAATGAACCGAAAGTTGTTCTTGTTCCTTTACATGACCACACTGTAGATATCCAACTAACGCATAACGACAAAATCATTTGACCTGAACAGTTAGTGATTGAACTCTCCATTTAATATGTGAAGATTCTGGCCATTCTTCAGGAGAGTGAAACTTAAAAACAACACAAGTCAACCTGCAATGAGACTAGCAGCCGTAGGTCTTATTTACTGGCAATTTAGCAGTGAGTCATTTTTCAGTTGTATAATCTCAGTGGTTCAATTAACCATTTTCTTGTAGTTACCGTGTTGTCCAATGCTTATTTTTTGCATATCAAACATTAATTGGAATTCCTTTTATTGCATGCTCCTTTCTCTTTGGACCTTCATATTTCTGAATGATGAATACGCTTCATTGTACTGGGATGCTGGCGATCTTTCTTATAGTCTTAATAACTTTTGGGCCATCTCAGTATAGTTGCAGAGCCTCATCACTTTTTTTTTTTTTACACTTAGCCTCGAAACTTTCTGATCATATGAAGAAATAGACAGCCTCCTTTGGGCATCTCTCCCATATATTAACTTGCCTTTTCTCTTTAGATATCTTCAATGCCTTTCTGTTTTTCCATCAATTTGGAATAAATACTTTAAAGCTTTTTTGTGTCATAGGCAGAGCACAAAATTGGTATCCATGGGCAAGCATGATTTAAGATATTAATGTATGAAAAAATAGCACAAAATTACACTATGGTATTTGTTTTGACTGACAAGTTGCTTTGTTCCTCTTATTATGAATGCACTTTATGTTGCCAATTAACTATTACGATGACCTGATTCTGCGTCTGATTTTTTTCAACATATAGCCACATTTTGTCAGCATAAGTGTGGTTTGTCTCCAACTACACAATCTTAATTTGTGTAGATATCATGATTGAATCTTTGAATATGCACTGTTGATCTGCTTATTTCAGTTAACTCAGCTGAGCGACGTTTCAATTTTCTCATTCTGCATTCTTCCCGAGGCTGTTAATAATAATATATAACAGAAAATTCTTTCGCTTTACAGGCTTCCTGGTTGAAACAGCATTCGGCACCCACCTCTGCTGTCAGTTTTTCACCATCCAATGATAAGGTCTGTAGTTTATCGTTTTGGCTTGGATTTTTTATGCATATTCTTAAGCTTTATAATCAAGAAGATGACGTTTTTCTGTAGTTACATCCCGTTGGTACCTTTTTCCTTCTTGGTTTGACAGGTAATCGCTAGTGTCGGTCTGGATATGAAATTATACACTTTTGACACTGGGTCTCGGAAACCATCTTCTTGTATTCCTTACGAAGCGCCGTTTTCTTCATTGGCATTCGCTGATGATGGATTAATCTTGGCAGCTGGTACAAGCACTGGACAGGTTGTGTTCTATGACGTTCGTGGGAAACCGCAGCCAATCACTGTTCTTCGTGCATATGGGAGCGCTGAGGTAGATGTCATATTTTAATAGTACTGGAACCTTCCGTATTCAAGATTTGTTGTGTCTATTGTGATCTGTTCTTATGATTGATTCAGAAAGTATTTGCAATATCACTGATCCTGTGATCTTGTTATGTTTGTGTATTGATAATTATTAAGAAAACCCAGTGTGTGTTATTTTACCTCCTAAATGGGTAGTAATTTGAATGCTACAAGGAAGGAGTTGCATATCAGAGTCTGCTGACGATATTGTTACGTAAAAGACTAATTTCTATTGTCCTTTTCTCTAAGCAACTAATTTATAGTCATTAAACATGATTCCATCTGTAAAATACTAATTTCTATTGTCCTTTTATCTGAGCAACTACTTTATAGTCATTAAACATGATTCCATCTGTATCAGGCTGTCACAAATCTTTGCTGGCAGAGGTCAAAACCTGTAATGTTTAATGAAAATAACTGCACAGACGAAACTGTTCTTTTGGCCGGTGATGTCGGGGATTCCATCCTTATGCCTGATCCACTTCCTTCTAGGGGATCATCAAGCATTTCAATGCCCTCAATTCTGTCTGGTTCTCGAAATTCTAGCCGTTCAGGTACCCCTGGAGATTTATATTCGTTTCCTGCAGGATCTGCATCAAGTGGTCTAAGTTTACCTACTTCAGAGGAAACACCTCTTCGCAGCAGCTTACTGACAGGCGGAAATCTTGCAAGGCTGCATGCACCTCGAAGTTATAACTTCAAGGATGATATGGAGGTGTTTTCTCCCCTTGTGGAAGTCCAACCAATGACACCCTCTCTCGACAAGTTGTGGAATGACCTGGATGGTGGAAAGAAAGACCTGGATAGAAAACCATCTTTTCTTTTTTCTCGGAGGTTTGGTCTTCCAGAGGAAGGTTCCATTGATAATCATCCAATTTTGGACTGGAAAACGAACTTATCAACCAAGCAGGTATTTTTTGCCCTAGCTCTATGATTCTGTTATCATCTGAAATGCTGCGTCTTTAATTTTGTTATCAAAAACTCGACATAAATGTAGACATAATCTAATCAGCACATTAAGAGTACACACACATTCTATGTGGTTGTCGTTCACTAAAATCAATCATTTCATTGTATAAGCAGCTTCTTTGTGGAACCATTACATTTTTGTGGCTATTTGGGACCTCTTCATCGTGCATGAAATAATTTTGACAGTGTTGGAGCCCATGCAGGATTACGCCAGTTCTACCTTGTCACAGTTGACATCTCCCACTATATCTACACATGTTGATGATTCTTCATCCATAACTCCTCCCGAAGCTTGGGGTGGCGAGAGAATATCTGACAAGCTGATTCACCACCGGCTAGCCATTAACATGCCATCCCGTTTTGCAACTTTAGCAGCTACAAATTCATCATCGGTAGTAAAGTTGTCTGGATTACAAGATAGTCTCCCCACGAATCAAAGCAGAAGCAGCTTATCATCTGGCCTGAGCCTGGCCAATCTGCGTGTCAGAGAACCCCCAAATCATGAAACTTTATTCAGATCATCAGAAGCTGTTTCCTCACCTTTAAGCGCAAAGAGTATTACAACACAGGCCAACTTTGACAGTTTGGGACCTGCTTTGTCTTTCCCCAGGCGATTCTCCAGTTATGCAGAGAGAATAGGCGCAACACCATCCTTCACTGATGCATCGGGGTCGCCCAAATCTAAGAAAACAGGAGTGGAAACCAGGGAAGAGCTTCTCAATAGCTTGTTATCAAGGTCTGAGATGACATCTGCCACTGGAACCAGCGTCCTTACAACTACCAGTGTAAGAGATAATCGTATCTTGCAGTCTTTCTAAATTCAGTGCAACTGTGAAATGATTCATCATTCTTGTGTCTGAGTATGAGTATTGCTAGAAATTCGGTGTCAGTACTCCATGGGGCAAAGTTGTGTGTGTGTGTGTGTGTGTGTGTTTCTGTTCCATGCTTGCAGAGATGGGCATATCGTTCTATATTTGAACTGTACACACTCTTGTTCAAATTTCCGTATTTGTATGTAGGGTGGTGGAGTGACAGATTTACCGAAAAGCCCCTTGCAGTCTGAAGCACAGCAGGGAAGTTCTTTTACCCTCCAGCTTTTTCAGCGCACACTGGAGGAAACTCTTGCTACTTTTCAGAAATCTATTCATGATGACATGCGAAACCTTCACATTGAAATTATAAGTCAATTTCATATGCAGGAGGTATGCTGATACACTTCATCTCTGGTCCTATGTGTGTGACATACTCGTGAGTACTCTAATAGTCGGAAGTATTTTGCAGATGGGAATGTCTGGGGTCATGAAATTAATATTGGAAAACCAGGCCGAGATTATGAAAGAGCTTCAATCTCTCCGGAAGGAAACACAGCAGCTGCGCCAGTTGCTTTGAGTAAATGCTCCATCTTCAAATTTGCTGCTTGAGAAAGTAATTTCGGCTATTTTCTTTACTTCGAGTCGTGAGAAGTGTTTGGTTGCTGGTTAATCTTGTTCAGGTTCACTCTGAAAAGTTTCGTAGAGTAACGTGTTAAGAAATTCACTGAGCAGTTGTTCGAGAAGCTCTGCTCTTACATATGTACAGGCTTTTTGACTTGGAAAAACTTAATGCCTTTTGTACTACTAAATGCTGGTTATCTTCTTGATTCAGGTCAGCTTTGTTTGGCTTACTACTTGAGTTTTTTCGCCCTTTTATCCCCTCTGAGTTTCTGACTGGTTGATCGTCATCTCTGTGCAAAATAATGTTTTAAGCATTTCCATCTCGACACTCTTTGAAATGAGAAGACTTGGGCGCCGGAATGATTTAGCCAGTTTGATTTTGTTAAGATATCCAGTTAATAGATTGAAAATTTATATTTGGTGGGTGACTCTTATTCATGGGCATGAGAATTGAAGCAGCCCGTTAGACATAATCGGTCTGAAGAGGTTCGAAATAACTCGGTCAAAGCAATCGGCTATGAACCGGTCAGCAACGATTCATATCGAATCAAAAATTGGTCAACAAACCAATTGAATTGGCTAATATTTTATTTTACTTATTCTTTTTATAGATTATATATATTACTTTTAACATATTAAAAGTCCTGTTTAAATGTTTTGGATATTTATTAATTATTTTTGTCAATGATTTAGTCATTTATATTATGATAATTATTGTGATATTTTAATTTCTTGTTTTATCTGCGTGATCAAAATCATTGGAATCAATCACCTTCAAAGATCGAGCAAGTAAATTTAAAGGCTACTCGAAATATTTAAAAAAAAAATCGTATAAACCTGAATATAAAAATAGTGATTTTGTTTATATATTTAAAGGCTACTCGAAATAGTGATCATTGGACAAAAAATGCCAACGTGACACTATTCAATTGAAGAAAAAATCACCACATTTATAAAAACTGCAAAATTAATCAAACTTTAATATGAATCACAAAACAAAATTGTCAACATGTCCTTAACTTATCCATGTTGTTTCTCTTAATTTTTATCACTGTACTAAAAATCGACATAGGCGGCTGCCCAGATGCTAGACGTCACCCGTCCACCTCCGATTTGCATAAATCGGCCAAGCAGCTAGGCAGCGCTTAGGCGGGCCTAGGCAAACTTAGGCGCTCTTAGGTGGAATCAGCGGTAATTTTTTTTATTTTTTTATTTTTTAAAAATAATAATCACATTATTTTGATATTCTGTTTTCTTTATAATATATTAATATTATTGTTGGAACTTAGGTGTGTGGATTTATTATAAATTGAGATAGATTTATTTGTAAGTAGTAAAACTAAATAAAGATATTTATTCTTAATTTCTAGGCACCGCTTAGGCCCCACCTAGGAACTCAAGGCGCTGGTCGAGCGCCTAACGACTTCTATAACGCTGATTTTATAATAATTTTCTAAATTTATCCATGTGGACATTCTCCCATGAACGTTTTCTGTTTAGGACTTTGGGTAGTTGTTTTGTAGTGTTTTTACCGAGTACGATGGTGAAGACCAACCTCGGGTAGTCTCTCAAAGAAAGATTATCCGGAATCGGATTCAAGCAATGACTCATTCACACAAAATGGAAATAAAGTCCTAAATACGCTAATCGCAAGTTGATTGTTTGTTTTAAGCTAATGTGAACGTGATTCAAATTTTGAATGAAAGCAAGAGCAAAATCAAGTGCAAGTAAATCCTAAATTTGCAATAAAAATGAGAATAAAAAGGAAAAGGACTACGAATCCAAAAATCGGAATGGAAAGGAGACACTCAAAGGTTTTACAAAATATGCAATCAAATATTTATCACTCCTCGATCAACCAATCTAAAACATCAATCAATTCTTTCAATGTGATCGACTACAAAATCACATAATTCATACCCTTTGAGAATGATAACATACTCTACTCATTAAAGTTTCGAACTTTACTCAAGAAAATATCTCGAAAATAGAAGTCGAAGTAATTTACGAGATATTGAATCTTAAACTTAGTTTATTGTAGCATCAACGAGAATAAATAAATCAGAAAGTTGCAATATCGACGAGAAGTAAAATAATAAAAATTGGGTCTTCATACATGTTTTTATAAAATGTAAAGTACTAAATGTGTTTATACTACTAGCTAAAACACACTCAAAACATACATTTAATAGGGATCGACCTCTGAGGTGGTACATGAGCTGAGGGGAAGGTGTCTCTACCTGGTGACGTGGGGGGTTGGTCTTACGAGTAGACCGTCTAACAAGGAAAACCAAAGGATAAGAAAGAATCTTAGGGCAACTTGGGCCACAAGGGCAGCAACTTGAGCAGTAGGTAACCTACTCCTATAAATAGGAGTGGGATAACTTCATTTAGACTCTACAACATCTACACTCTTTACTCTTATTTGCTCTCTACAACTTCATTGTTCATCGACTTCTACACTCACTGACTTGGGCATCAGAGGCTTTTTGCCGGAAAACCTCCTTTTTTAAGTTGAGTTCTTGTAGCTATGGAGGCGCTTCGTCGTAGCAGTTCAAATAGAGACCGAGTGAAGATTTCATTATTAATATATATAGAAAAGAAAAAGATTTCAAGTAAATTTTTTGGCGGGATGGTTGTGGTCAACCGTAATTAATAACATAGTTAACTTGATTTTTGGTAATTTAAATTACTGTGATGTGATTAGTTTCTGTAATTAGTAAAAATAATTTAAACATAAAATGCAATGGTTGAGAAATGCTATGGAGCCAACCACCAATGTTATAGTATCACGTAGGCCATGTGAAAAAATAATTAACTCCACATAACCTACGTAGCACTATAACATTGGTAGTTGGCTCCATAAATGAGCCAACCATTGGCTCCATAACATTTATCTGCAATGGTTATTGGAAGAAGAATACCACATAGGAAAAATTAATTAAGTGATTATTGGAAGGAAAATGCCATATAGGTAAAATTAATTAGATTTTATTTAATAATTTTTCAACAATTATACATATAGATGTTTTTTTTTCTATAATTACAAAGGGTTTTAATTAATGAATAATGAAAAATTCACTAAAAATAAATTATTAAAAACTATTTTAAAAAAAATATACCATTTTAAAAAGGAAAGAAGGAAAAAATGAAATGAAACAATTCTAGAGAATATTCTTTTTAGTAAATAAAAATATATAGTAAAAATTATATAAATTATAAAGTATCACATGCAATTATCTCGTAAAATATTTTAATTTATTTTTACTAGGCATTTTTTTCTTCAAGCTAAAAAGATTTCAAATAAACAAAATTAACCTAGATAATGAATGTTTGTCAATTAGTTTTCTGATGAAGTCTTTTTATCATGATTTTTAAATACTATTACTTTTATTTAAAAATTATGTTTCAACTTTCAATACATTTGAAACAATTCATATATAATGTATTTGTTTTTATCAATTAAAAATAATAATAAAAAAATTAATTAGACCATATAAATATATCTAAAAAAATCGAAATCAACCAAAAATATGAATCATGCAACAGTTGTACCCTACCTTATATAATGTGTGAGTGAAATGTGGAAATGTGCTAAGAGAAGAAATATGTTAAAAAATGATAAAAAAGTACACGAGCCCACAAAATAAAACCGAATCCCCAGAATTGGTGAAATCGAAAGTAGAAGTTCGGTAGAAAATTATTTGGGTTCTCATTTGAAAATGACGAGTTTCAAACAAAATCTTCATTTGCCCTTTGTAGCTGTACTTGAATTCCAAGCCACAAGCCAAGCATAGATCATATATTATTATTCCGCTTTCCTTTTCTCTTTCGCTGGGGGAGATGAGTTTTATTGCGTAGAGTAAAAAGATGATGCAGAACTCTCCGATGTCAACAGTACATACGTTAAAATAATATGATGTACTCATCGGAGTAGGAAAGCTTACATACGTATCTATTGTTAAACAAACACCAGCATAAATAAATAGTATTGGGCCATTCGGATTAGTCAGCTCAAGAAAAGGGGATTTTTTTTTTCTTTTTCATTTCATTTCTACTTTCTGGTAGCCGCAGATGAGGTCTGGGGCTCTTCGGAGAATGTTTTTTGTTCAAGCGCATTAACTCTCTTGAGATTATAATCCATCTCTAAAAGATTCAATCTTTTTCAAAATCCATATTGTATCCATACAGAAGTACACAAAATAGAGATATAGAGAGAGAGAGAGAGATAGGGAGAGATGAAGGAGCTGTTTGGGAGCCCAGGAAGGAAAAGTGGGCTGATTTTAAGAATTGGGCAGTGTTTGTTTGCAGGTGCTTCAATTGCAGTTATGGCCTCTGCTTCTGGCTTCTCCACCACCACTGCTTTCTGGTAATCGTTATTATAAATCAATATTAGTTTGTTCCAAGATCCTCTTTTAGCTGTTTCTTGTTTCTGCTACTTGTGGAAAGTGACTCTGGGTGTTTGTTCATTTTTGTTATCTTGTCTGATTTGTAAAATATAGCTTGGTTGGTTGAGAGATTTTGGAAGTAGATCCCCACCAAATATAACCGAGTGTCCAGGTTGTTTCTCAAATTATCATATGTGGCAAGTCATTAATTAGAGTAGAACCTAACACCAATTGGGGACACCACAGATAGTACACTACTGAAACAAAGGTATTTCTAAGGAAAAAAAACATTAAGTACTGTTTTTGAGGTCTTTGCTGATGCCTGGCTTTTTTTGGCATCCAATAAGACAATTACTATTAGGGTGTAATCTGATTTTTGTATCAGATAAGTACTCATCTGGCGCATTATTTCCTTTCAGTGCCTGGAATGGCTACACTTTTTCTGTGAGAATAATTTTTGTTATACTTCAGAAGTTTCTCTTACTAATGAGCGTAAAATGTTGGTTTGTCAGCTACTTAATTGCATCAATGGGGCTTCAAGTTCTGTGGAGTTTTGGACTTGTGTGCCTTGACATACATGCTTTGAGGTTCAACAAGGACCTTCATACCAACATCATTGTGAGCCTGTTCGTTGTTGGCGATTGGGTAACTTACATCTTTTTAATTTCCATTACCTTCTACCTCTGCATGTTATTCAGCTTATTATCTAAGCCCATCTACATCAGATAACCACCAGTGACAGCATTGGGGCAAATGGTTGATTGGTATTATCCTTGTGAAGTTAATGCTTATGTTTGTGTAAATATTACCTCCCAAGAACGATGAAGGCGCAAAATTAACTTTTAACTTCTTTTTGTGAACTCAAATCCAAGGCATCAAAGCTTTATTAAACACGTCTAGATTAATATATAGTGTCAGGCTGGTAGCTGTAGAAGAGATGGCTGTGGACACTGATATGATTCTTTATGGTTTGCTGCTAATAGCTGGACTATAGCTAACTAAAATAAATACTAGTTTCTGATAAACCCTGGTTTTAAGAACCCAGAATTTTTAATATCTGTTTGTTGAGCAGTTTTGAGATTTTATTTGTATCACATTTATAGAGTGATCACACATGCATCTTGCTGCTGCTTGAATACAATCAAAATTGCACAATTTACTGCTTTTCCCTTGTGTTTCTAGATTTCGTATGTTATTCCGTGTACAAGCATGTTTGTGTATGTAATGAAATTTGCAGAGAGAGCTATGGGAATCTATTAATATCCTTAAAAAGGAATAAAAATGTGAGTAAGATGGACGAACTTTTTGTAACCACAAAATGTTTGAAGGCGTGAAAGCAAGAATTTTGTTCTGGCCTTGGCCCACCCTTGTTCTGCCTGGGCTTAACTTGTAGGTGTGAAAACTTTGAGGTTGACACTTTTACTTGGCACCATTGTTTTGGGACTTTGTTGCTTTACATGCTACCAGTTGGCTTGCTTTCATCTGACCATTTCATCCTGTATTGTCTGTTCTAGTAATTCTCTCCGGATGTTTATTTCTGTTGGGTGGTCATTCTTACAAGCCAAAAGTACCCCAGAGCTAGACCTCATCAATCAGATGCATCACTAGTTGATTTTGCAATCTTATCTATTTTTGGTTGGAAGAAAAAATATTGAATAAGAGCAATGGAACTGCAAATAAATATTGAGAGATAACCTAATTGATTGGAAAGAATAGTTGATGGGGAAGTAAAGCACATAGCAACAAGGAATCCCACTAGTCTATAGTGATGCCTATTACACATTTTTTCCATAATAATTATGGAATAATTATTAGAAAATCACTATAGTTAATAGACATATTGAAAGGTCATCAAATGAACTTTCAGAAGATTTTTAGAACAATTAAAAGGTGAAATTCGTATCTATATTTAATTAATTACAAGTTCTAGTAAGAGCATAGGATATCTAAGGCATATTTTAATAGAAAATCTCACTAATTGTTCATCTCAATGTTAACTTACAACATAGTCATAGTCTTCCTCTTCATCTAGTCTGTCTCCATCTGAACATAGCACAAAGAGTCAACGACAGAACTGACCATCAATCTAGGTATGGGTAATTCCATTTAATGAATAAAGAAATCCAAATCCAAAATACCCACACGATATCTGACCTTCTTCTGCTGGTATAACGTTTAAATTGTTTTTAGCAGTTGAATTTAGTAGTAGAATACTCGAGCCACGAAACATTTCTTATGCAGATGATAGAAATGGTTGGCTAAGTTGATGTATGCCTAAAAGATCACTTAGCACCTTTTTAGTTAATCTAGACAGAGTTGTTATGTTGGTGTATTTTGATTCCAAATTGATTTTACATGTCATCCATTTTGCACAGGTGACTGCTACTCTATCTCTTGCAGCTGCATGCTCGTCTGCTGGTGTTATGGTACTTTTCACGAAAGATACAAATATATGCAGGCTAGATACCAGTCTATCGTGCAACATGTTCCAGATATCCATTGCTTTTGCTTTTCTATCATGGTTTCTTCTTGCCATATCATCATACGTCATGTTTTTGCTTGTCGCGTCATTTTAAACAGTTTCTTGTCAATAACTTTAACACATGACGACTTGATCACGCACGCAATGTATATATTGTCGCTTTTTGATGAGTTCCATGATGAACATTTGTCAATTT